ATAGCCACCTCTCTGCATTCTCCAAGGAAAAAAATTATAGACTACTGCTTATATAAACTTAGCTGTTTAGACTCTGTAGCCTGCTTTCCAGATCAGCTTGAAGCAACTAAAAAGCTGCCTTTTTTTTTTTGGAATTTTTAGACATCTTTGATCTTGTTGTCCTCGATGGAAGACGACAAGAAGAAAAAGAAGAACAAGAAAAGAAAGAATAAGCAGAATAAAACAACTGCAGATTCCGCTCCAGGTGATGCTCCTGGAGCATTTTCCGTTTCTCCTTCTGCTCAACACATTCCTGTTACTGAATCTGCCAAGATTAGTTCAGCTCTGGTTGACAACCCAGATGCTCAAGAAGATGATACTGCATCTGGAATGACTTTGAACCCACATGGTGTATGTCTCATTTCTAATCACCCTCGTACTCCGCTTGCTGCTTTCTCTGTAGAAGTTACATTTTCATGTGTTGTATTTTCATAATAATCAAGTCTTATTTGCTTGTTAATGCTGTCAACTTCTTCTTTTGACTTGCCCTTTTTCGATTCTGTTATTTTTCATTTCTGAATGCTGGCTGCTGTATCTCATTGCACTGTGCAATTTTACTACTCACTCTAATCTAGGATTCGGCTTTTAAATTATTTTGCAATTCATTACTTATTTTGCTTGTCCTTTGGGTGTGACATTGCAAACTGGTCGTTGTCAATGGAGCAAACTCGTGTAGCTTTTCCGAATTGAATATGTTATGATGATAGTGTTGTATTTTGCTACATTGATAACTCAGTAATATCTGGTCTTTTACAGGTTATCTTTGAAGAGAAAATTCAAATATTACTACAAGAAAAAAATGCAATCTTACAAAAAGAGGTAAACATAAATAATTCATTAGACACAGAGAGGTATTTCAATGCCAAATCTGTTTATATGTGTGTAATCTACAATTAAACGTATGGAGTTATGTTTCTTCTTGGGTGTTAGATTGGATATTCATTTATCTTTTCCAAATGTAATCTACTGGTGTCTGTGGGTTATGCAGGCTACCCTGCTGGAGAAAATTGAAGAATTGCAAAACGAGAAGGCTGTACACGTGCAGAGAGAGGTAATGCAAGCTATTCTTATTGAGGAATGGAAACTTAGTGTTGGTATTTAAGTCTCTTATTGTTCCTTTTTTTTGGATTTTTTTCTTTTCTTACATGTATTAATGTATGATAACGATTTGATCTTTGCAGGCTAGTCTTGAAGAGCAAATTTTACAGTTACAAAAAGAAAAAGATGCTTTCATGCTAAAAGTGGTAAGAAAAGCTGGTAGAGTTGGGTGATTCATGGTTATTGCAATACTGGAGCTAATTTATTTTAAAGATATTTTTTAGTATACTGCATTTCGTCTAGCTAATTGCTGACTCTCTGGTTATTGGTTGACAAATCTATCACAGGATGCTTTAGGACAAAAAATTCAACAAATGCAGATGGAAAAGGATGCTCACGTGCAGAAAGAGGTAATTGAAGACTTTAAGATTGAGTTTTGGATGCGTGTTTTTCTCATATGCCAGTGCTCATTGTATAAGCATATTTTGTTTTTTCATATGGCTAAAGAGATATACTCTTATCTAATAGTGTATCCACTTGATGTTCCTCAGAGTGCTTTGGAGGCTGAAGTAGGACACCTGACAAGTGAGAAGGAATCTTGGTATCACAAAGAGGTAAAGAAGGGTTATAATCTTTGAACATTTGGACTCCAATGCTACTTTTCTTGTCTTCTGTGTTCTCTGTATTTTAATATTTGGTTAGGTGAGTCTAGTTCTCAGCATTCAGGCAGGTTGACAGTATAACTAGTCATAGCATTCTCAAGAATAAAATTATTTTTGGGAATCAGGATTTCTCTGTTTTACCTTAAAACTATGGTTGTGATGTCATTCCTAGTTTCTCTCAGGCTCACTTTGAAGAGAAAATTAACCACCTTATGGTTGAAGCTGCAACATTGAGCTCAAAAAAGGTAATTGGCTTTGCAATTCACACTTACCCTCCTCATTGCTTGTCCAAAATAGTCTTTTGCTAGGCTGTATTTGAATTTTTTTAAAAAGCTTATGTTGCTTCTTGTTACTTCAAAAGTACTTCTGTCGTTTATTATAATAGATAAATTTGTAATCAATGACAGGTAAGCCTAGAGGAATTTGTAAAACAAATGGAGGAAGAGCGAGATTCATGGATATTGCAGGAGGTAATAGATACTTGCATCTGCATGCGTGGGCTTGTATATATTAATGGTACACTTTTAGAATTCTCTGCTCTTCCTTCCCTTTCCACTTTAATTTTGCATTGCTATTTCTGATTTGCCTTTCTTTTCATTCTCTTTTGTTTTTTGCTATAATAGTTAAGCCTTTCCTCTTTGCTTTGATGTTCTTAGATCCTAAATTCATGTATTTGACTTGCATTTGGCTCTAGTGGTGGTAAAAACTCTTATTATACAACTTGTTATTTCTTTATTTGGTATAGTTGTCAAATAAGAACATGAGAACTCATTTTTATTCTCACTTCTGCAGTGTTGGTTCCAAATGTCACAATGAAATCATTGTTTTTTAATCCAATTGATTTTCTTATTTTTGTTTCCTGTTCCATATTCGTTTTCCTGATTGTCTAATGCCTCGGAGTGGGGAGGGATGTGGGTAGTTTGCTTAGCTTTGGATCTAATTTTTGTTTTTCCCTTAACAGAATTCATCCAAGGAAGTAATTGCCAAGCTAAATGGTGATAACACGCGACTAAAATCTCAGGTATAGTGTTCCATAACATTGCTTTAGTTGATGTTTTTGTTTCCTCTCCAGTTCCTCTTTCCTTCATCATACTGAAAGAGTGCAGGTGAAAGCATGGAGGGAGTGTACTAATTTCTATTCCTCTCCTTTTCCTAACTTCCTATCCCTAATTGCCAACCAATGTCTGCCCATGCAAAATTTCTTTTTCCTGTTAGACCTCTTTTATGGACCGTAGCATGGTTTATTCATAAGTTAGAGAATGGTTTCTGTTAAGATTAAAATCAATCTAGAGAAGCAAAAAAAAAAAAAGGGAAAAAAACCTGGACCTTTTATATTTAACTTTAGTGGCAGTTGCAGGAGACAGATCATGTTTATTTCTCTTTCTAAAATTTTCAGTAATACATTAAATTTCCTTGTGTTCTTTATGGTAGTGTAACTGCACGATAGTATATGTAGCATGCCATTTGTGCAGATGATGTATTAGAATATAATTCTGTTCCTAGATTCGTCAGTTTCCTCTTTTGGACTGTCCAAATTATTTATTACGTTGAATACTACACCATAATAGTTAGTCACGTTTCTTAAGATGACTGTTATTTTGATATTGACTACATATTTCACTTGAGCTTGAGGATATTTTTCCAAGTAAAAGCAAATCAAGTTGTAGATGATATACTTATTTTTCTCCGGTGGATGGTTGGTGCCTCAATGCTGAACAAATGTTGAAATAGCATGGAGGTGTTTGGTGCTGTAAAGCACGGATATTAAGATCTTGCATTTAGATGGCTAGAGTAGGTGAGCTATGAGTGACAACGTCAATGGAAGTCTTCTCTCAAGGCTTGCTCTCTCTCGCTTAAAATACCCTGTTGTCAGTTATCCCGCCATCCAACTTTCTCACTTAAAGAGGCATAATTCTGAGATTTCCTTTTTCGTTTATCTTTCCTGTTATTGCCCTTGAGATGTGAATGACACAATGTTGTGCACATATTTTCATGTTGCATGATCCTGTATAGGGGAGAATGTTTGTATTTATTCTGATATAGATATTAAAATCAAAGCTTGACAGGTGATGGAGTTGGAAGAATTAAGGAATGGTCTGTTACAAGAAAACCATCTGTTGACGGAAAATATATCCGGTCTGCAGTCACAGATTCTGAGTTTAGACCGAACTGCCATTGTTTCTCAGTCATCTAGTGATAGCAAAATGGTTAGTTTCCTATAATCTGGTTACATGGATGGTTATTATCATGGATGACTTGTTATTACAATGTGCAAGAAAGAATTACAGGGATATGGGTCAAGTGAATGTAGCTATTGTCTTATGTGATCAGATTAGTGAGATTTTCTTGCCTCACTCCTTTTAATGATGATTTTCCATTGCCAGAGTAATTCTTGTTTCTCGTGTCTCTTTATTAAAATTTTGGTCAGATTAATGAATGGAACTGTTGTATGACAGTAAAAGTTAAACAGTGTTTAACCATCTTTGTGGTGTTCATAACATTTGGGTTTGTGGTTTTGATATGCTGTCTCAGATGAATGAGTTGTACGTTGAAATTGATCGCAATGGTCTGCAACAAGAAATACCTTCAGCTGAAATGCCAACAACTGTTCATCTTGCTGATAGTACAGCTGTTGGGCCGCATCTGATGGTTGGAGCTATTGAAGCACAAGAAAGTTGTCCTGCTAACGATTCAATGGACGAAGCCAATGCCAAGATGCTCGTGCCTGATAATGAAGTGCAGTCGCCGGAAAATAACGTCAACAATGATGCGAGGGGCGAAGGAGAGTATTTGGATGACAAAAAAGATATGCTGGTTACGGAATCCTCTGAAATGACCAAGTCAGATGAAATTGTGCAAATTCCATTGGATGAGAATGAAAACAAAAAGACAGATGTGGAGGCTACCAGTAATGCTGAAAAGACTGTAGTACCGCTCTCAGATGCTCCACTGATCGGTGCTCCATTCCGTTTAATTTCTTTTGTCGCTAGATATGTTAGTGGTGCTGATATGGCGGAGAAGAACTCTGTAAATTTAGGTAGGTAACTCCTCATACTTGTAGTTTTGGGGGGTGGGTGTGTGGTGCGAGATTTTGTAAGCGTCACTTGATGGGAAGTAGAAATACGAGGGAAGTTATTAAGGGCGGAGGGGGCGGGGGGACTAACCGTAGTTGTCGTGAGTAACAAATTGGTCACTCATTGGTTGGGATGGAAAAGTGCTCAATCATTTCTTGAGAGCAAATTGATTGTGTTTTTTTTTTTCCCTTTCCAACCTCTGAAAAGAAGATAGGAAGAGATATCTCGAGGGGAAATTTTCTAGATTGTATTCTCGAATTCAGAACACCTTGTTTGGTTATAGATAGTAGTGATGGACATACTTTGATGTAACCAGGGAACACGCAGGGTTCTTCCCTTCCGTTGGGATTTTTATTGAAGAACATTTTGAAATCAGAGTTTGACAATAGTAACATGTTTCATGAGAAAGATGTACACATTTCTGATATGCTGCTAGTAAGAGATTGCTTGCGCGGCTGTCGAACCAATTCAAGAAGCGGAAGGAAAAATAATCCCCCATCAGAGATCAAACAGAAAGAAGAATGGGGTGGGGGTCTTCGCAGACAACTTAATAGTTAGAATGGGAACATTCATTAGTAGTAAGTGCCACAGCAGGTTCTCCAGGGCTCGTCGTCAATCGGCGGATGTAGGCCTGTTCCCGGGATCGGGTTGCCGTATTTCCTGGATCATTCTCACAACTTGCTCCATATTGGGTCTCATGTCGGGTGTCCTGGCTACACAGGCCATTGCGATCTGCAGCATCTGCACCATTTCGTCTTCAATGTCCGGATTCTTGACAAGCTGAGCGTCAAACACCTCCGCCGTCCATTCTTCTCTAGCAACAGATTGCACCCACCTCGCTAGGTCTACTACCCCATCATGCCCCTGCCCTGCTGGTTGGACAACGGGTGCTTTCCCCGTTAGCAATTCGAGCAGGACCACACCGAAGCTGTAAACGTCAGACATCTGAGTGTATTTCCTCGTCTCGCTCACTTCAGGTGCTCTGTATCCGGTACTTCTACGAGGTAAACCCACGATTGGGGTAACACCGAAATCAGAGGCGCATCCACTCAGGTCTTGGGTGAGCAGGATATTGGACGACTTGATATTTCCGTGACTCAATTTCCGACCGGCAACACAATGGATGTGGGCAATGCCCCTGGCGGCTCCAAGCGAAATCTTTACTCTGGATTTCCAATCCAGCCTTCTCCTTCCATCGGGCTCCCTATTTCCTGCATACATATGTCCACGCATATTAAAAAAACGAGAATGAATTTATTTCACAAATAGATGGGACTCTCGACTCGAAAGCATAAACAAAAGCCTCGTTATATACCATCAGTTGTTATAGACACTAATAGATGATGATAACAGCTGCCAACAAAAAAAAAAGGGGGGGTTACAGTATATATATATATATATATATATATATATATATATATATCAATGGCTATATAAGAACGATTACCATGCAATAATGTGGACAGGCTGCCCAAGGGGACGAAATCGTAGACGAGGAGTTTCTCATCTTTGGAATAGTAATAAGCACGAAGGGAGACAACATTGGGGTGGTGATGGTGATTGACCCTCCAAACATTGTCCATGTGTTGTTCAAATTCCCTTCTTCCCACCACCGCCGCCACTTCTTTGAGCCGCTTCACGGCAACGGTAGTTCCATCCTCCAAGGTCGCCTTATAGGTTTTCCCGGAAGCTCCCTTTCCCAGTACTTCAGCTGACGCTCTCAAGAGGTCTTCCAGATCAAAATTGCCTTCTCCTTGCAAGAAAACCAATTTGTTCTTTTCGGCCTCGCCGCTCCTAGACAAGTAGCCTTCCCCCTCCTCCTTAAGCTGCTTCGCCTCATGGATTTTTCCTCCTCCTCCTCCTCCTCCGCGGAAGGGATTAACTCTCACCAGTACTGCACTAGCACTTGTTTCTGAATCTCTTTTCTTGTTATTCATGCAGCATTGGAACACTATTACTAGGACCAGGAGAATCAGGAATGCACAAGCTCCGAGTGCAATGGGAACAATTGCACCAGTACTTAACTTTGACTTATTATGCTTTTGAGAAGAAGCTGGTGGTGGTGGGGGCGGTGAGGATGGCAAAGGAGACTGTGCGAAAGAAGAATGAGGAGGAGGAGGAGCAAGAGAAGGAGAAGGTGATGGTACGGCGGAAGAAGGAGGTATCGATGGTGAAACTGGAGCACGACACTGCTGGTTGAGGGGCCTTCCGCAGAGTAAGGAGTTTCCCAGGAATGAGGAAGCGGGGAAGCGCTGCAGAGAAGGTGGGATGGAACCGGTCAAGTTGTTGAAGCTGAGGTTTAAGTGGACGAGGGCCGGTAGCTGGCCGAGTTGATCAGGTATAGGTCCTGTGAGCAAGTTGTTTTGGAGATTCAATCCAGCGAGAAAGGTCAAATTGGTGAAGAGTTGATCGGGGATGTTGCCGGGGAAGGAATTGAAGGAGAGATCGAGAAAGGTGAGTTGAGGAGAGAGAGAGATGGAGGAGGATGGGGTTGGAAGATCCCAGCCAGAGAAGTTGTTGCGTTGGAGGTAGAGGTAGCGGAGGGAAGGAAGAGAGAGGATATCATAGGGAAGAGCCCCGGAGAGGCGATTGGATCTAAGGCTGAGGGAGGCCAGGGCATCGAGCCTCCCTAAGGTATTGCGGGGGATAGGACCATCAAACCCGAAGCCCGGAAGCCGAAGCTCAAGGACACGAGTGGCGTTGGCGGTGCAGGTGACGCCAGCCCAAGACCTGCAGGCTGATGATGATGAAGGTTGAGCATTCCAGTCGAGTTTCCTGGCACGGGGATGAGGAACTGCAGAAGCGAAGTCGAGAAGGGCTTGTTTGTCTGAACTTAGATCAGCGGCAGCGACGACAGTAGTATGTTTTGGGAATAGCACATGAAGCAGCAGCTGCGCCAATATGATCCCCCCATATTGATATCGCGGCCTCAACATGCTACTAGCTACTACAGTGAGTGAATTGAAGCTCCCCACAACACCACTCGGCCATGCATCACTGCGCAGGACAGTAGCTAATTTCTTGATTCATTTGATCAATAGTAGCAGCAGAAGTGACGTGAGTGGATATGTGTGTACCTTTTCTTTGGTTTGGGAAAAGATGCATGCACGAGTGCATGGAGGTCTCTTATGCAGAGGTTGATATCATATAGGTTGCTAGCACCTTTTTTTTGTTTTTGTTTTTGTTTGATGCATGAAAGGAATAATAATGACAAGAAGGTTTCATTTCTGGGGGGGTTGAAGTCGAATGTATATATGTACGTTGTCTCCATCTTGAATGTATAGATGTGGAACAGTGGATGTGGATGTAAAAAATACTTAAAACACTTTTGGTGACCTTTCCTTGTACCCTTTTCTGTCTTGAGTTGACTACTCTTATCTTCTCCCAATCATTTTGCCATCGTTTTCCTCTCTAACACACCCTCCCTCCTGCTTGTCTTTTTCTATTTTACTCTTTCATTCTTCTTCTTCTTCTTCTTGGGCCCGCTCACATTTAACTGCTATTGGTAACCTAAGTCTACTACTATTTAGAGGAGGAGGAGGAGGAGTAATTAATTGTTCAGCTTCTCCGTCAAGCAAACAAACGGCAGCTGTCTTTTTTTCGGTCAAGGAGTTTGTTTACGAGAGATCGCTCTTATCACCATGGCATCACTACGGCTTTTTCTGGTACACTACTACTACTGCTACTAGTCTACTGCTACGTGAATTATAAATGTTTATCACCCAACACAAGTAATCTTATTTGGCAGTTGGATTTCTGTTCAAGTAATCCTACTCCTTTTACTCCCTTCCTACGCATGCATTCGCTAAGGTATTCCATTGGTAAGTACACCTGCTCCTACACACACATATATATTCATTAAAAAAAAAAAAAAAAAAGAAGAAGCTTCCATCGGCGCATGGGTCGAAACACAAATTGCCCTTTTTTTCTTTGTCAAGTTGTGAAAGATACGCATTGCTTTGACCACAACATTGTGCTGCTGAGGCCGATTTGGGCTCCTCCCGACAAGTTGCAATTCATACGTTACCGCTACTACTCTATCTATTATCGTTCCTCGGCCAGCTTCTTACAAGGTTGACTACCCTGGAATGAGTCCACAAACAAGTAGCCAACCAGACCTGCATTCTGACAACCACCGACTGAAGCAAATATTGCACTACGCGCTCCGAGAATAAACTTCTCCTCTCCTCTCCTCCCAAACAAACAAACCAAAAAAAGAATAAAATTCTCAACCACTTTTAGGTTTTAAGTGTCGCAAGGAACTCGTGAAATCCGCAGGTGGCGTCAATCGCTGAAGCAAGCCAGCCAGCCAAATGCGCATGAAGGAGAATATATTTGTTGGCAAACAACCAACCAATAGAATGATAAATTGGCACTTCTAAGCAGCAGTTTATTCAACACATTTTCTTCTCTCTCTCAACCTTTATATTACCAAATAATGCAAGGGGGAAAAAAAAAAAATCACTGCCACACGGAAATGCACTTCATGCAGGTAAGGTTACAAGGGGTCAAACGGCTCCGGTAGAGGTTCAAATCCACTGTCAAAAATGGCTCCTTGCTCGGATTTATCGTCTAAACTATGCAACCAATTAGTGTTCTTTAAATCCTCTTTAAGTAGGAGGGTGTCATACCGGGAACTCTCATACATGTCAACAACTGTCAGTTTTGCCGGATATTGAGACTTGTCTTCCTCATTTCCGTTTTCTAAATACCTACCGGCATGATAATTCCCATGTTCTGTACTATCCCCATTATGGAAGATCGGGGCATCTCCATTGCCTGAAGCTTGTTTAATCACAGTCGGACCGAGTTGGCCTTTGGTACTGCTGGATCGTATACTTTGTGGGAAGAGGGTCGAACCTGAGAGAGCACGATTTCCACTGGTCCCGTTTCGTATGTCCTGAAAGAGAGTATAAACAAATAACCATTAACAAACCATAAATTTATTCTTTCTAACCACATTCTGAAAAATAAATTGTTTATGCTAGGTCCCACCGACCTTTTCTTAGCGCCACCCAGAAGGCTGAACAAGGATCCCTCCGCATCAATGAACCAGTAGTGTCACTCTAGCATGCTTAGTTTTCTCTTCACGGAAATTATTTTTAGAAACCTCTTTGTTATGATGTTACTTTCTTTTTATCCATAATGATTTTTATCCCTCCACACTTCTATGGATGTGTCACTTTCTTTGTTATTTTCCTGGTAGGTATGGGTGTCTAGAGGGTTGGACAATATTCACTCTTTTAGCTTTTTCACCGTTCAATAACAGCAAATAGCAGGAGAACTTAAACCTACATGTAAGGAGATATGCATTCGAGGTCTACATGCAAGTTCCCCTATGTATTCCTCAATAAAGATGATACATGAACAGGCACATCTAGGAAAACATGGGGATGGATTCTTCAGTGAAAGATAGTCGTTAATCAAAGCAACACTGTAGTGAATAACAGAGGAAGCGAGAAGCAGTCCTAATAATAATAAACTGTATTTATGATTTAGATGAAAGCCAGAGTTTCCAGACGCCATAATCATCCAAAAAAAAAAAAAGCTGCTCACGAAACAAGATTGTTTATAAGGCAAGTCCATGTCCATTTAGTTGAGGAAGACATAAAGAACTATATGTTGTTTTCACACGAGAAAATGCCATACTTACCATATGTCTAATAGCCATATCCAGAGATTTTTTTGAGATTGTCCGCCCAAACCCAGTGCTCTCTGTGGATGTCTTTGCAGGCTTCCGGGTTGGCAACTCAGATACATGTGGAGCTCTGTGAGACTCTGTGGTATGATTTGCTTGCCCATTGGCAAGCATTCTGCCCCTTGACAAAGGTTCTGGGACTCTTCCCCTGGTAACAACGGGTGATGACTGTCTCCTAGGCAAATTTGCAGCACCCGAATTCTCTACATTTCCTTTCAAGGTGACGGTAAAACCTGGCCTAGACCTACCAGCAGAGAGTGGCCTATCTGGCAAAGTTGTTCGTAGGTTTGGAGGTGTTTCAAGTGGAAAATCTGGGATAACTATTGGCTGTTGCGTGGGCCGAACACGGGGATTCGGGGAACTAGGGCGTGATGTGGAAGATACAGTCCGGCCACTCTGAAGAGAACGTCCAACCAAATTTGAAGATCCAGATGCAGCTGACAAAGAAGGTGCAGGATTCCGGCGAGTAGGTGTGGATGGCCGAGATGTAGAACGAGCAGCAGGAGAGCTCAAATTCACAGGTATTTGTGGCCTAGAAGTTGGAGTCGAAGGTCTAGAATTCTGGGATGGCCTCACTTTGTCTGCAGAAGCAACAGTGGGTGCTGGATGGGCTTTAGAAGGAGTTGACGATCTTGACAGTGTCGGGCGGGAAGATGGGGTCGAGGGTCTTGCTGTAGATGATGATCGGCTACTAGGAGTTGAAGGTCTAATATAGGACGAGACTGACGCAGAGCTTGTGTTGAGAATAGAGCTCGATTTATTTGAGTATGTGCTGTATTGGGAGGTACAAATGGACGAACGAGTCACAGAGCTACTTCTTGCGGGTCTTGAACGATTGTCTTTCTCTGATGATTGAGAAACTGAAAGCTGAAACCAACGAATTTTTCATCCATTTAAATTCAACAAGATGCACTATTAAAATTGAAACCTTCACCCTGAGGAAAAGGACTTCCGGGAGTAACAAGGAGATTGGCAAGACGAGTGACAAGTTTAATAAGAGAGGACCTAAACCTCTTAAGAGGCTTAAAGCAGTAAGCCTACTCTTGCAACGCAAAACAATGAAACAAATGTGCAAGGGAGAGTGAACCGCACCCACAAGCAATTTCAACTGTTTAATATTTTTACCAGACATACGGACAAAAAGGCTTTATCATTTTAAGCCAATGATACAATACATATCATGTGAGAATGCATTTTTACCAATTGATTGATATGGCAGACCATGCAACTGTTGATCAGTATGGACAATATGCACTAGGTAAACTAGCTTAATTTCTCCAGACAGTAGCACAAAATCTTTCAGTAAGCCATGGAGACCGACTGTTCATACCACCATGGAGCAAGTTCAGTCATGAAGCATTCACATACACCAAAATATTACATTCAACAACTAGAGAGCAATGGAAAGATGAAACCTATGTGAAACGAAGAGAGGTTACCCTTGAAGCCTTGGTCGTGGAGCTAGATCTGGATAACAAGGTGGTTCTTGAAGCCATGGGGACAGTTTGAGATTCATTTCCATCTGATGTAGGAAAGAGAGGAGTTCCAGGAGGAGTAAGAAGCCTATGAAGAAGGAAGGGAAGGTCAATGCAGTCAGAAAATGTATAATCAGGTTCTTCAGTAAAATCCACTCTGCATTAGGCCACCTATAGTGACGAGTCCACAATGGAGGGAAATGCCTTGACAGTTTATGATGTTGATATAATGTTACCAAGTAACAAGGACCTCTGGCTAGCTTGATGCATTAAGCATGAAATGTTCATGTTGTAAACCAGAAATAGGTGGCACCAAAATGCAGACAAGCGGTCTAAAGAACAATTGTACAGGCAAATATGTATGGAGTAAAATGTAATAAAAAAAAACAGAAGAATTTGAAAGGTGAAGGGGGCGCGAAATGGGAAGAAGAAAAATCCTAGGGTAATGCAATACAATTTTCAAAACCTATGAATAGGCAAAAAAAAGGAACAAATAGTAACAGAGGATAAAATGTTGGAGAGGGGATTTAATAAAAATTGAATTAGATAAGATTAAGTAGAGAAATTTTATGTCAGTCAAGGCCAACTGCTTGGCAAGCTTAGTTTTTTTTTTTTTTTTTTCTATATAAATAAGAACATCTTCCACATTAAATACAATCCAAATAAACTTGTGGTTCCTTATTTGTCCAATTGGCAATACCACATTGGTCGAACCAACAAAAATAAAATTTCTCAGATTGAGTGAGTAGCTTTTAGTAGCAAGTAGCGCAGAGTTAACAACAGCAATAAGACGAATTTAATTAATACTGGCATTAGCACTAAACAGGAAAGAAAAAGCGGGGTTTGGTTTATCACCAATCGTAATCGTGCTTGCCTCCATCGGTAGATGAGAGTAGATCGTCCAATCCAGGCTTCGGGGTGGGTTTGGCAGGGGATCCAAGGGAGAGTCTTCCCAGTCTAACAGAAACTGCACAAGTATATATATGTATATGTGTGGTAATTCATATGCGAATAAAAGAAGGCATTCAGATTAGCTTTAATCAAAATTGAGAAACATGCAAG